TCTGCCTCCCAAGTGCTGGGACTACAGGTGTGTGCCACCATGCCTGGCTTACACCTAGACTTTTAATAAAGGTATGTACATTGGCTGGTATGTTGTTGCAACTGATTTGAGGGGGGGGGAACACAAAAAATACCCACCCTTTCCAGATTTTTTAATCTTTTGAAAAAATTTAGTTTTACTTTGTATATACGAGTATTTGCCTGCATGTACACACATGTACCACACACATACCCAGTGCCTTCAGAGGCCTGAAGGCATCAGATCCCCTGGAACTGGAGTTACACACAGTTGTGAGCTGCCTCATGTGTGCTGAGAACCAAACCCGGGTCCTCTGCAAGAGCAGCAGTGCTCTAACTGCCAAGCAGCTCTCCAGACCCACCTTTTCTCAATTTAAGCTTGCAACTAAATAGTACCAAAAAGAACACTTGGCTTATTAACCAACTGAAACAAGAATAAAGCTCCCCCAAATACCATATGAAACATTGTCAACACAGCACAAAGACATTTCCTTAAATCTGCCCTGACAAATACAAGCTATTTGTTGATGGTGGTGTTTTCATGTCAAAAACAAATAAAACCATTACTTTCAGAGCCCATGACAGAGGGGACCATGAACCGGGGCTCACTTCCATTTGTGATGAATTCCAGCTTCTACAATAAGAGACAAGAAGCAGTCCTGTCCCCATGGCACAGCACCACGGCATCAGTCTTACCACTTTTTGTCCTGCATGTGTGTGTTCCTCTGTATGTGTATTGTGTTGCATGTGTATGCCTACGTATGTGCATACATGTAGAGGCAAAGGAGAACATCAGCTGACCTGCTCCATCATCCTCCACCCTGTCACTGAACCTGGAGCTAGGCTGGTGGCCAGCACCCCCAATGATCCCATCATCACCCCTACCGTGCTGCAGATGCACTCTTTTACATGGGTGCTACGATTCAAACTCAGGTCCTCACTATCTGCACAGCCAGTGCTCTTACCCACTGAGCCATCTCGCCAGCCCCTATTTTCGTTCTTTGAATGAGAGGGAACCACATTCTACCACTTACCGCGACTTTCTTTGCCAAATCCACGATATCTTCCATCAACTCAAGGTGTTGTAACTTCTTCAAACTTATCTCGGAACCACGAGAACTGCTTAAAGACAAATTAATTTTTAAGATACTAGGTTCTCACACACAACAGTTCAATGAATGTTACATAACTTTTATGTTGAAAGTTAAGTACTCTTTTCGTCACTCTAGGTAACAATATGCTGTTTATTAGATGAACCAAATACTCTATCTTTTCCTCTCTTCTATAACACTGACATTTTTTAAATTTTTTCTCTATTTTTTATTTTATGTGTATGAGTGTATTGCCTGCATGTATCTGAGTGCACCCATGTCCTGCAATGCCATAGAGATCAGAAAAGGGCGTCGGAGTCCCTGGGAATTGGAGCCAAGGATGGTTAGTAGCTGCCATGTGGGTGCTGGGAATCAAACCTGGGTCCTCTGCAAGAGCCGTCAGTGCTCTTAACCGCTGAGCATTTCTCCAGCCCCCAAACACTGACATTTTAAAATAAGTTTATTAATTTTCCTGACTCAGCTTCATGTTTACCATCTACTACTAGTCAGGTAATTTATTAAAATGTTAGAATTATCCATTCATATTCAAATCCCAAGTCTACACTTTTCTATTCTATTAAATAAAAATAAAATAGAATAGCATACAAGAAAGAGGAATGAGTCTTTCACTTACTCCTCAGAACCATGCAACATGCTATCACAGCTCATAAAAAATGAATATTACATAGTAACTTACGTAGTTTCTATACAGGGATGCAATCTTGATATTATAGAACTGTGTTGATGTTGAAAAAGAAGTGGCCAGAAGATATATAGTTTAATGGTATCACAGTAATCTCGGAGCAGAGAAAGTGGCTTACTGCACCATATATTGCAGATATCAAACTCTGAATTAAAATAAAAAGTTTAAAGTTAGTATTTGTGCCTCATTTTGAAATGAATCGACATTGAGTTAACAGGAAAAAGTGAAAAGATTAAAAAAAAAGCAAAACAATGAAGGGATGAACTACTCCAACCTGTTAGATATTAAGACTATTTAAGCACTGGCTAACACTCTAGTTAAAGAAAGATTGCTGGGCGTGGTGGCACACGCCTTTAGTCCCAGCACTTGGGCAGCAGAGGCAGGCAAGGCCAACCTGGTCTACACAGTGAGTTCCAGGACAGCTGGGGCTACAGGGAGACCCTGTCTCAAAAAGACCAAAGCTTAAAGACTTAAGCTTCTACTCTGAAACAGAGTCTCAGCATGTAGACCAGGCTTGCCTTTGAGTCCTCCTGCCTCGGTCTCCCAAGTGCCGAGACTATAGACATGTACCACCATATCGAGTGTAGAATACATTTTAAAAGACAAAGGTGTTCTGTTGCTATGATGGATGGATGGATCTCCCTTTATACTCACCTAAATTCTTCTCACTTTGGGCATAATCTTTATATTGCATACCCTAAAAGAAGAAAATTATTCTGATTTGTATCTGGTAAAACAAAAAGTATTTTTAAAAAAGTCCAAAGACGAGTAGATAACAACTTTCAGGGTACAGGTTTGACACAGATTCTGAACTCATCTTTAGTCAATGAGTCATAATTTAAGGTCTTTTCCATATTTCTTCTGAATCTGTTCTTACAGCTTTCCTTGGGAGATTTTCTAATCCCCAGTTAGAAATGGTGACGCCACCCGCTTCCTTTCTGGTAAGGCACTGCTTACCGTCCCTTCCAAAATCATCTCTTCAGAAGCATCTGTACTTCCTGTCAACACCCACGTGCTACACAAAACCACTCCAAACTACAAAGCCCTTCGGATCGAAAGTTAAAAAAAAAACAAATCTCCTTACCACTCCATCATAGTAAAGCTGAGTCACGCGAACATAGTCATCAGTGGTAAAGTCAGGAGCACAGACACAGTCGTCCTCGTAAGGGCAATCTTCTAAGGCATCATCCAACATAGTGAAATCTCCCTCAGCAAAATCGTCCATGGTGCACAAGCCTAAGGAAACAGCATACACTCAATCAAAATTAAATCATTTCTGATCACACGAGCAGCAGTTTTCCTGGGCTCTATGGTATGTTAGAAAAACACTTGGAGCCTATATCCCGAGGAAGTGACTCCAATCAGAACGCTGAGGTTTGGAAGATTTTTATCCCTGGCCTGCAGTTATTTTCCCCAGACTTTTTCCACATAGCTTTATCTATTTCTCCCTTTCTTTAGGTTCATACACTGCCATCTCTACTCTGAACCTGAGAGATTACATGTCTCCATTAGTGAAGATACCGAAGGGCATCTTACTGTGTATGTGCCTAGCAAACACTAAGCCCTTAAATAAGTGTTCGCTAAACGTACAAAGGACATTTGCCTATGACTGCCCTTCTACCCGAGCCACTACACTGCATCCCATAAATACCCCATTTCACAGCACACAAACTGCTATACTCTCAACCATCCTGATTCCACTGAGAAACCATTTCCTGTTAGCTTCTAGAAGCTGGCTCCCAGCTGTCTCTCAGGGAGTCTGTCTTGAGAAGAGGGGCAAAGTGGGAATGGACCAGGTGAGTCTGTGTCTGTTCTAAATGGCCACATCTAGACCTGCCCTCCTAACTATCCCTGCTTCTAGGTTCTCCCAACTACCACAAACAGCCAGTACTGCTAGACTGCAAAGGAGAAAAACCCTCACGTTATCAAAAGGTATTCTTAAATGCTTTTCATCAGTGGGGAAAAGGGCGATCCGGTCTGAAGTTTCAGACTAAAGTTTTGTTTTCCCGAATAAAGTACAGTGAGAATTTGAACAGCTCACAGAGGAGCCACACTGCCGACCACTGAGATGCAGCATTTTATTACTTCCAGCTTTTAAGCAGTTGCATTCTTTTCTTCCATCACCAGCACCACCATTAACAGCATCTTATCACACTTCACACCGTTGCTATCCTACTGTTGCGAGAACAAACCAAGCTTATTTTTAAATATAAGACCACCATCAGCCAGCCCTTGGAATACAAATCTATTTCTTTAATCAATTCTTATGCACAATTTGATGTATGAAATCCTCACAGTGCCAGAAGTGAAGGGGTAGGCCTCCTTGCAAACCACTGTACTACGTGTCACATGTTGCACCCAGCACTTTACAAGTATCACCTCACTGATCCCTGTATTTTCCATGGCAGACCCGTATCATCATCTCTACCACACCAATTGGAAAACATTTCGGTAAAATTATGTCATTTTCTCAAAATCACCAAGCTAGAAATGGTTCAAACCCAGTCCTCTGACCTCGCAGTCACTTCTCTCACATTTCCCTCGGATGTACCCTTAGCATTGCCTCTATTTACTGACCTTGTGATTACTTTCACATCTAAGACACGAGTTTGCGCTGCCTCAAATCTATCACAGTCCCAGCCGTATCAAGGCTGATGGCGTGGTTTAACCCCTCTCAAGACTAACACGGACTTCACCCCTGCCTCAGCCGGTTCCTCCTCCCTCAGAGACATGTCTCACACCACTACCTCTGTCCAAGCCAATCTTTAAATCCTTTGCTCAGACCAAGAGTCAGTACTGCTCCCGTCCGTCCGTCCGTCCGTCCGTCCATCCTTCCTCCTACCATAGCCTCTTTCAACCTCGTCAGCAGCTTCACTCCCTGTCTACCAAGTCCTCCACTCCCACTCATTTTTGGTTTCCTACAATTTGGTTTCCATTTCTACCATTCAAGGGACACTGCTTTTAGTAAGGCCATTAGTGACCATCTGTGACACCAGGGAAGTCCTCCTGTTCTGTATGAACATCATTTCCAGAGTTTAAAGAATTTACACAACATCCAGAAAAAATAAAGATACCATAGTACCCAAAATAACATGAGATGCTACTCTGTGTGTGTGTATGTGTGTGTATGTATGTATATGTACACTTTATATAAACATACTTTTAAAATCTTGGCTTTTTAATGTAAATACAGAAAGAGACAAGAACTGTCATGCCCCAGGATCACCATCACGGTATGGATTACAATACAACTGGCGGCTCAGCCACTGTAACATGACACTGGTCTCTCAAGTCTGGCAGATCTCAGCACCGCACACAGCACCAACCCTACTGTAACTATAACGCTGGTGCATTTCTTAGCCTTCCTTTCTGTTTTAACTAGAGAGGCAATGTGGCAAAATGGTTAAGAGCATGGTCTCTGGGGCCAGACCTGCTGCCCTTGAACCCTGATGCCCCCGCTGTCTGGCTATGAGATCTTGGGCAGGTTAACCGCTCTGTGCATTAGCTTCCTCTCATACCAAGGGGGATAACAATACAACCTACCTGATTAATCGGTTAATACGTGTAAAATGCTTAAGAGGACCAAGCATGTTAAGAAACACAAATGTCAGCTATTATTAACATATTAAATGAATTTTTAAAAATTGACTACTTTTGGATGCATCCAGCTAAATAGTCTACCTTAATTGCTAAATCCAAAGAGCACTGTTCAGCTTACAACTTACTTGACACTGTGGACACTTCCTCCTTCTGAGAACTCTTCATTTGGACTCCAAAGACCATCTTCTGGTTCTCCTCCTATTCGTCTGGCTGCTCTCCTCAGTCTCCTTCACGAGCTCCTCTTCCGCATTCCCCGCCACCCAAATGCCAACTCTCTTCTTCTCACTCTCACTCTCCTTGCGTGGCCTCACCCACCGCACCCATGTTAAAACACAACTTTCTGAGCTTTCGTTTGCAGCTGCGCCATGGTTTTGCCATTTCCATTTATCATGTGCATCTTTACTTAGTCCCCTTTCACGGAGCTCCTTGGCCTGTATGATAATGTCCATGACATCACAGGTTTGATGTACAAGTTAGGTTTCCACACACATTAGTCTACTAGCTGTTAAACTCTTTCAAGTGTTTATGTACCATTTCAAATTATCTTATACGGTACTATAGCAATAATAGCTTCCAAACTTCCAAATGCTGAATACCCAGATCTCTCCAGGTTGAGCCCCATCTCTTGACTTCCATGTCAAGTGCTACTAAATCTTAACCAAGATGTCCCATCAGCCCCTCAGATTCAGCAAGTTCAAAAACAAACATCTTTTTCCTCAAAAAAAAGAAAAAGAAAAAAGAGAAAGAAAAAAGAAAGTTCTTTCCTCTTTCTGTATACTATTTATCAATTAGTTGCTCTAAGTTTCAAATGGTTATCCAAACCAAAATGTGAAGGAAACCAAAATGTAGGTCAACACTGACTACCCACTCTCCTTAAATACTTTTATCCAACTTACTACACTATACCGTCATCTCTACTTCCCTAAAAAACAAAAACAAAACCATCCAAATGTGCCACACATGCACTTCCTGTCCAGTGCCAACACCTTAGGTGTACCGCCATCCTGTCTCTTCTGAACTGCTACAACACTCTCCTAAGTGCTGGCTTGCCTTCAACTCAGAAATCTTCTAAAATTCCGATCCTAGTCTGACTGCTTAAAGCCACTCACTAGCTTCCATTTGTCATCAAAATAACCCTGCTCTCCCTGTATAAGCAGGGAGTGACAAGCGTGGTCCATTCCTACTTTTATCCTGAGTCACTCCACAACATACAGCCTCCAAGCCAGCCATGCTCAACTGCTTGGAATTCCTTAACAAACCTCACTCTGCAACCATCTAATGCCTAACAGTTCCACTCAACTGCAGGAAGCATTTTCTGATCTTCCCAATACACCAAGCTTATGTCTGAACCTCTTCTCTGTAAGCCTAGACTACCATGCCCATATCTCTGAAAGCAGTTTCACACCATCTGATCATCACAGGTTTATCAATCTCTGTTGGGTCACTATGGGTCCAGGGGATGCACGGTAATGACATCACCACCTGCATAGCTATTTACTTAATATTTTCCTCTAGAATAACTCAACCTATAGCTTAATTGTGAACTTGTTTTAATAGAAAACTTTGTACTACTACTAAGACATCCTGTTTGCGATAACACATTTTTTTTTCTAATATAAACTAAACCCACTATAGTTGAATATTAAAGGACTTTTGATCCCATCTGTTACGGCAAATTAGATACTGAAGAACTCTAACAAAATGGATCAGAGATTTCTAAAAAATACTTTTTCATGTTTCACCCATTCATCAATACAGGAAAACATTTAAACCCACCCTCTCCCTCCAAAAGCAGCAAGCCTCAAGCCTCAAGCTAGAAACTAACAGGCATCCAAGACCAACAAGCAGTGCTGCCAAAAGCTGCGATGGGATCAGGACCGAATGGGATGTAGGAATTGAAAGTGGTTCTGGTTAAACTCCATGGCTCCCAGCCAAAGCTGATACACGTGCTTTCATAAAGAAAAGTACTGCCAAGGGTCTAACAAAGATGATCACATAAGAGCTCATAATCAATTATCACCAAGCAAGGGCATAACAAGCTACCATGAGAGACAACAAAAGAAACAAGCAGTAATATTAGATCATCTCCTAAGGCTATCTGTCAGCCACTAAGATGACCAGATTCAGTAAACAGATTAAAAAAGAACACAATGTGAGACTGCAAAGGACGACTGTATAAGAACCGGGCAGAACCTTTGAAAATTAAAAAGAAAACTGTTAGGCTAGGGTATAGTAGCACAATTATAATCTCAGTACTTGGGAGATGGAGGCGAGATTATAAATCCAAGCCTAACCTAATACATAGCAAGTCCCTGTCTCAACAAATACAAACATAGGCAGACAATGACTGATGGATTGACAGACAGACGTCAAAAGTAAAAATGTGTACAAGTTAAAGAGAAGCCTAGACACAGCTAAAGAGAAAACTGGTGAACTAGAAGATAAGTGCATAAAATTACACAGCACTGAAAGACAAGGGAGTAAGAGATGTGAAAGAGAAACATTAAGAGATCTAGAAAGAGATTAACATACACTCCAGCTAAAACTTCACAAGGAAAGAACTGATAAAAATCAGACAATATTTAAAGAGATTCACAAGCCTCAAATCAAAATGAGCTCCCAAGTTCTAGGGTAAAAGAAAATGATTTAAGGTAAAAAAATCAATTTGATCTTACAGGGTTTATATTGAGTTCAATATTGTATAACTGTATTAATTCAACTGTGAACCTAAAAAATTGACAGCCAATATTGGAAGAGATGTATCTTTGTTCTGGAAATTGTTATTGAATATGTTAATGCTGTAATGAAATGATTCTTCTAATCATGTAGTTATTAAATAATTTTTAAAAATCAACTTGACCACTAATCAAGAGATTTTAACTAAATGGGAACTTCTAAACATACCAATTAAAAGACACAATGTCTGATGGACCCACAAGAAAAATACAAGTTTTTATATTTATACACACACACACACACACACACACACACACACGTATATATAGAAACAGGGTCTCCCTGTAGCCCCAGCTGGCCTGGAACTCACTATGTAGACCAGGCTGGCCTTGAACTCACAGAGACCCACCTGTCTCTGTCTCCCAAGTGCTGGGACTACAGGTGTGTGCCACCATGCCTGGCTATAATAGATTCTTTTTTTTTTTTTTCAATTTTATTATTTTTGTTTTATATGTATGTGTGTATTGCCTGCATGTAGGTAAGTGTACCCGTGTTGTACAATGCCCACAGAGGTCAAAAGAGGCCATCAGATCCCCTGGGACTGGAGTTACGGACAGTTGTTAGCTGCCATGTGGGTGCTGGGATTCGAACCTGGGTCTTCTGCAAGAACAACCAGTGTTCTTAACTGCTGAGCCATCTCTCCAGCCCCTATATTCTTTTTAAGAAACATATAAAATACAATTTAAAAAGTCAAAGTGAAAGAAGAAAAAGGATATAAAACTACTACCAAAAGACGAACTTAAAGAGCAAAATTAAAGATGGAAAGGATCACAATAGGGTAAAGGTCTAATTCCCTAGTTTGCATGCATCTAACAAAAACTCAGAATACATAAAAAGAAAACAGAACTACAAAAAGTCCTGGATTAACAAGATTCTTACTCTCGTGACCACTATCCAGTGACCCTCAGCCACCTACAGTGGGCTTGGTCAGGTCATCTGGTGAAGATGGCTCTGGTGACTTGACTCTCGTCTGGTACAATGAAGAGACTGGAGGATGTAGGGTTTGGGGCCAAACAAAAGCTAATCAAGCTAGCTGAACAGCACAACTGCTAATCTTTATCTAATGGATAGATAACCATTACAGAATGCCTTCACAAATATATGTAAAACAGTACCTAATTATAATACAGGCGTAATAACTCTCCATGAAAAGAACATAAAACAAGGGCAAAAAATAATTTTTTAAAAAATAAAATACAACGCTGGACAAGTCAGTCAAAAAAGAAAAATGAGATGTGATTCTGCTTATAAGCAGATACAAAAATCCTAAATAAAATATTATCAAACTCAATCCAATAGTGCATTAAAAAGATAATCTATCAAGACCAATTTGGGTCTATCTCCAGAAAGAATAAAGAATTTTAAAATCCATAATTTGGCCTTCATTTGATGACAGATTACAAAAGAACACAGAAGCTCTCCACACACGCAGCCAGCATGTGGTGAAGTGGCAAAGCCACCTACAGAAGCTCACAGCAAGTTACTGTTAACAGAGAGACACTCCCTCTGAAATTGGCCACGACCTAGACAGCACTTCTAACAAACAACAATAATCACACCCACTGAACACAGATTTGAAAGTACGCCAGGACACTGAGAAAGGAAAAGCAAGCTTACAAAGAAAGTAACTGGAAAGAATCTAAACATCACCATTGCAAATGACAATTACACAGAAAAACCCAATGGAACTCCAGAAACTATATTAAAAACAAATTGTCGGGGCTGAAGACATAGCTCCATGGTTAAGAGCACTGACTGCTGTTGTAGAGGACCCGGGTTCGATTCCCAGCACCCACATGGCAGCTACGAACCGTCCTTGACTCCAGTTCCAGGGGAATCTGACGCTGTCTTATGACCTCTGAGGCACTGCACGACACGGGTGTACTCACATACATGCAGGCAATACACCCATACACATAAAATAAAAATAATAAATAATATATATTTTTTAAATTGTTAAGTAGATGGCTAAAATCAATATTCTAAAATACACATTAGATTTCTATTTACTAACAACTGTCAACAAATGGAATCCTTTAAAAACCTGTCATGTCATGTAACAATTGGAGTCTTTTTTTTTGTTTTTGTCTTTTTGAGACAGGGTCTCCCTGTAGCCCCAGCTGTCCTAGAACTCACTATGTAGACCAGGCTGGCCTTGAACTCACAGAGATCCACCTGCCTCTGCCTCCTGAGTGCTGGGATTAAAGGCGTGTGCCACCACACCCAGCAACAATTGGATTCTTAAATGTCAAAGGTCCAAGAACAGCTGCTTGAGACTGAAGGGCTTCTTCCCAGGCATCAAGATTTCTGAAGTGCTAAGGAGGAAGCTCCGTGGCAGGGTGCCTGACTAACATGCACAAGGCCCTGGGTTGAATTCCCAGAGCCATTTAACAAATAATAATAGTAAGGTTCTCAGCCAGCTGTGATGGCACACGCCTATAGTCCCAGCACTCAGAGGAGCAAGGCAGGAGGACAGTGAGTTCAAGGCCAGCCTGGACTTCAGAGTGTGGCGACCCTGTCTCAGGAGAGGAAACAAAGATTGATTTCTGGTGAAACTACAGTGCTAATAACTAAGTGTGGGCATCAACATGGATAAAGGCTGGGTGACAGGAAACACAGAAAGACAAGCCAGAAACAGATCCGTGCACACAGAAACGAAGCAGGCCAAGAGACAGAACAACAGCAAGAGGCCAGTTCAGGATAGAACAGGAAAACTGGAGCCACAGTGGGTAAAATCAGTGTGGACCACACGACACACAAAAACTGATTCCAGGTGCACTGTGAATTTAAATGAGAAACACATAATTTTAAAATGTCTAAAAAGAAACACAGGTGAACATCTTTACAAGCCCAAGTAAGGAACTTTTCCAATTAGGTTAACACTAAAACTAAGACTTGGGACTTGGCATGGAGTTCAGCAGTAGAAAACTTGCATAGCATTCATGAAGCCTGGGATTCCTTGGGGGGGGGGGGGTTGGGGGAAGAATTTCTGTCCACCAAAATATACCATAAAGAGTGAAAAAGACAGGTCACAACCTGGAAAAAGATATTTATAATGCACATTGAAAAAAAAAATCAGTGCTACCAGTTTGCCAGTTTTAAAAGACAATTCAGTATTTTTTTTAAGTGGGTGGGAAAAAATATGGCCTTTTGTTTCATACAAGGGAAACAGCGGATTCATAAATATGAAAAGATGTTCAGTCTCATTAATAAGTACAGATTTAAACCACAATGATGCATCATTTCATACCCACCCCACTGGCAAAAATTAATCTAACAAGTGTTGACTAGATTGCAGACTGACTGTAACTCTCATACCGATCCAAGTGCGTAAACAGACAAAACTATTGGCTAACCTGTAAGCTGGCACGTTACCTCAAACCAATCTGAAATCCTTTCATTGAGGTAAGTTGAACATTCCTATCCCTCAAAGACCCAGCAGTTCCACTTCTAGTAAACAGCTTATGATGGTGTTTATTCCAATTTTTTTCCCACAAAGTACCAAATATGCTTTTGAAAATTACATGCTTTCCACATGTTATGACATCTAAAATATTTCAGTGAGTTTACATAATTGCAAATGATGAATTTCTAGAGTATCATAGAAATGCCTTAAAATAAAACTGAGTCTTCTAAACGTATCATAGCTGGTGGGGGTGCTTGCTACCAAGCCTGACAACCTGAATTCAATCCCCCAGGTCTGTATCATGGAAAGAAAGAACTGACTCCAGCAAGTTGTCCTCTGACCTCTACACCTGCCATGGCACACCCATCCACACTACTGTGTGTGTGCGCTATTAGCATACACTTGGATCAAAAGTGATTATATACATTGATAACTAAAACAGTTACTGAATTTCTCTTTTACTGAATTTCTCGAATAAATGGATTGATGAGGCTGAGATAAAAAGAGACTTTCCCCAGCAATGGATGCTGCATTTAAACATTTGTCTTTCCTTTCTCCACTTGCAGTCACGCCAGAGTTTGTCCGAGTGGGTGCGCCGTTTACTTTTCTTACATAAACCTTACAATGGTGAAAGGAAGATGGGAAAACAGACCCAGCGGGAGGGAGGCCTCCATCAAGGGCCTTAGGCATCACCAATATTAGAAAAAGCTTCCAGAGTTATAATGGTCTAGAAATTCATTAACATCACCTGTACCCACAGATGCTTTAAGAAACTTTTGTTACTTCCCAGAGGGTTATACACTCAGAAATGAAAATTAGAGAAAGACTTGCAATTCTTTGCAAGAAGATATGTACCAGAAATCTTCTAAAAAGCAAAACCTAGAAATAAGCAAAATGCCTGCCAGCAGGAATGCATACACTGCACTGTCTTCACCGAGTAGTGTCATGGGAGCTTCGAGGTAGTGACGTACATCCATAATGAATGTTAGTGACTGAGAAGCATGGCACTGAGTGAAAGCAAGTCTTGGGCGACTATACCCAGAATAATTCTTTTTTATACCCAGAATAATTCTTTTTTATACCCAGAATAATTCTTTTTTATACCCAGAATAATTCTTTTTTTTTTATACCCAGAATAAGGCTTTTTTTAAAAAACTCATAAAACACCAAAACCATTTATACAATACATTGTTGAAGGACATACAAAAATCTGATTAAGTAGTATTTAAGATACAAGAAACAGCACAAAATCCATGACAATCACCTCTGGAACTGAGCACATTCAATCGCTTACTTCGATCCTTGGATTGACTGCTGGACTCAAACTGGTCATTTCATGGTTTTGCTTCACAGATGTACACACGTTAAAGAGGAAAAGATTTAAAGAAAAACATATTTTTTAAATGCTTTTAATTAAATCAATTCACTTGCTACTAGTGAGGAACAATGGACATACCTTGGAAATCCTATTTTTCCATCAGCCATGCAACATTAGATATGGAACAGGTAGGTGTTCATTGGAATTAGGAGGACTGAACCAATTAGCTGTGAGAGAGGAACCCATAGGCTGACACCAGGTAGACAGAAGCCAAGATGGCTGCAAGCAAATTAGCAGCAAGCTAGAGTCGTAAGGAAGAGGGTCAGTAAAGAGAAGGCAAAAAAAGTAGTTTGTTAGCAAGCACGTGAGGACCGAGGTGTTATCACCAGGGAGAGAAAACTACTGCGCCCACTTGGAGAGCTTGTACCATGTCTGGTTAAGTGGAGATACATACATTCCACTGCCTAGTAAACTACTATCAAGTGTACTTCCTAGAAAACTTCCAAATGTGTGCATAGTAAACAGGTACAAAGATATTGCAGGACTGTATTAGAGAGTCAAGTCTATAAACAAAGCCCATCAACAGGTTATCTAAACAAATTACGGTATATTCATACAACGAAATGCTATACCAGCAATTGGAATGAACCAAAGAAAATACAATTACTCGATTTATTCACATATGAATCTCAAAATGCGATGCTGAGTAAAAAAGCAAGTTGCAAAAACACCATTTTATACCGTTGAAAGTTAATTTAAACCCCAACACTATTATATGTTTATATATTCTTGACCAAAACATAAAATATGTGCAAGGAGACTATACACAAACCTGAACGCAGTGGCTATCTCTAGGTAAGGAGGGGGAGAAACAGCACCTCCAGAATTTTATTTCTCTTCTTTTTGGAGGATTTGAAGTAAATTTGGCAAAACAACATCTGTAAAAATCTAAACCACGGTTTGGTTCGAGCTGCCTGTTTTATATATCAAGTATTTCAGAAGGCAAAAGGAAAAGAGGAAAATTAGGCAACAGTATGTTAATAGAGCAGAGAGAAAGCCATGGCAGCCTTGAGCACAGCAGCAGCAGCCCCGGGCTTCTTCCCCAGTACTCTGAATAAACCCATTTTCCTTCAAAGTGCAAACGCGCTGAAATCGACACCAGAGCTGTCACTGTGAGGACTCTGCTGAGTTTGCACTATTTCACCTGTCCCCTCGCCAGAATCCAGATTTAAGTGGATGCCACCACTGCCCTGGAAACAGCGTGCCGGCCAGCTGTGTGCACGGATTGGAAGGAAGGGGTTGCAACCAGAGGGGCTTTGGGGATCAGCTTCTGGAATCAGCACCTGGCAGACCGCCGACCCACATTCTTAACACTCGGTCCTTTGTCCAACCCTATTCTGCGCCAGAACAGCTCGGCGCGGTGACGTCGCCGCACTGCGGCTCGCGGGAGGGGGGGGCGGCTTTGTGTCCCGGGGACCGCGGGGCTGCGGGAGCGGAGGTGGGCAAGGCAGGTGCGCCGGGTACCCGCGCAAACACTCCGACAGACGACACACACGCACACATGCATACACATACATGATCGCAGACAGGCTTCCGTACAAGCATATAGACACACACACGCACAAGTGCGCACACACATGCCCGCACAGACACACATGCATGCACATACGCACCCGCACAGGCACACACACATGCCGCACTCACAAATTCATAGACACAAGCACCCGCAGAGGCACGCACATACAGGCGCAGACACATGCACGCACTTACGTGCCCACAGGCAACACACATGCACACACTCAGATTCACGCACGCAATCGCATACACACATGCACGCGCGCCCAGGCATACACACACACACACACACACACACACACACACACACCACGGGCCGCGCGCTCACACGCTCGCCCACGCAGCACCCCTTCGGACAAACGCGGGGCTTCACACGCGCTCCAGGCCGCAGGCTGAGGTCCGCGCGGCCCCGGGAGGCACCGGAGAGGCAGGGGAAGGGTGCGTGGGTACCGCACGGCAGGGCGCTCACTCGGACACACCCACCGGTCCGCGGCGGCCACACCCCTCGGGGCCGCGCCCCGCCGCCCACTCACCGCACCCACGCGCGCTCCACGCCGCCGAGGCCTGCGCCGGCCTCCGGAGCCCTGCCGCGGCGTGTGCACTCACCCGGGCCCGAGCCCGCGAGCCTGGACGCGGCCACCGCCGCTCCGGCCCACCACGTCCACCAGACTGCGGCGGGGAGCGGTGCTGCGGCGATGCAGCAGACGCATCACGTGGGGCGCAGCGCGCAGGCGCAGAGGACCCGCCCCGCCCCTGCAGGCTGCAGCGTCGTCATCTCGGTCGCAGTGCGCCTGCGCTAGGCTGGGGGGCTCGCCTAGAGCCTCGGTTTTTGCCTCGCTCCCTCTCCCCACTTTTCCCGTCCCCACTGCGGCTCCCTGACCGCGCCTGCGCAGAGTGCGGGGGCCTAGAGGTGGGAAGGGGGGCAGAGAACCGAAGATGGGGGGGCGTCCCCGGGGCCGTGTGCTGAGCCCCTAACGGGGGTGGGGGTGGGGGGTGGGACAGCCCTGGGGGCTGGGGGCAGACCTCTTTCGGTCCGATCCCCCCCCCCCGCCCCTTCCGGGAGGTTGACCGAGGGAGGCGTTTGTTGGCAGCCCACTCTCCCGCCCCCTCATTGCAGTGGTGCGCGGACGCGCGAGGGGGCGGGGTGCTGATGGGGGTCATGTACACGCGGGGGCGCTGATTGGGGGTCGTGTGCACGTGGAGGACGCTGGTGGGGGTCGTGTGCACTCGCGGGGCGCTGGTGGGGGTCGTGTGCACGCGAGGAGGTCTGGTGGGCCGCAGCGCTGTGATAGTGTGTAATGGAGCCGAGGCGCCCAGGGAGCTGATGATGATTGTGCTCCTTCTCCACCCGCAGACTGTGCGAAGCCCCAGGGAAGATGGTGGAAAACTCCCCGTCGCCATTGCCAGAAAGGGCGATTTATGGCTTTGTTCTTTTCTTAAGCTCTCAGTTTGGCTTCAGTAAGTCCCAGGGATGAGGGTGGATGGCCCGGGCTGCTGCTAGGTATCGGGAACGTGAAGCAAGGAGCATTTCCGTTCTGGGGGGGGCACGCCTGAACAGCTGCCTGCTTCCTCCAGGCTCCTCCAAGGCCGCCTGTGCTTGCTCAGAGGGTGGTAGCCCTTGCCTGAGGTTTACTGTTTATCCAGGACTAGGCAGGATGGCAGAGGGCATAAAACCTGGGCCCTGTCCTTGAGGTCCTGTGAAGTAGTGCAGTTAATCCTCACAGCTTGATGAGTGTCAGGCCAGAGCAGTGGAAAGACACTGAAATCCAGCCAGGAGGTCAGGGTCAGCTCCCTCCCTGCTCTTGGATCAGGCAAGAATCCAGAAAGACAGTGGGCAGAATCCCCGGATGAGAGCGTGAAGATGTGGGAGTTTAGAATGGCAGCAGAGCACAAGAAGTCAGGTGTGAGAAGGTGCCCTTTATATCTTGGGCCTGTTTTGAGCCGATAATGAGCTTCCTAGAAAAGGAAACAGGCTAAAAACTATCATGACCAAAGTCACTGAGCAGAGCCCAAGCCCCTCCTCCAAAAGATTTGCAGAAGTCGCGGCTAGAGAGATGCCTCAGCAGTTAAGACCACTGGCTGCTCTTGCAAAGGACCAGGGTTCGATTCCCCGCACCCACATGGCGGCTAAGAACCGTCTGTAATTCCACTTACAGCGGAATCTGACGCCCTCTTCTGACTTCCCTTGCTTGCTCAAGGTCAGAAAGCTAATAAACACTGGAACTGGAATTAGAACCCTTGTGCAGGCCAGGGCTGTGGAAAACAGCCCAAAGTGTTCTGCTCTAGAGTTTTCGTAATCGTGAGAGAACACAAATGAGTTCAACATATCCAGTGTCAGATGGTGGAGAAAGGCTAGAGGTGGAAAGAGGCCTGATGTGCCCCTGTGTCCTTTTTTCCAATTCATAGCACTTCCAGGATGTAGTCAAAGATCCATTAACCAACCCTGTTCAACACTAGAGACATGAAGCAGAAGCCAGCGCATCAAGATTCTCTGTGTCTCAGACTTCTGACATACAAAGCTGTAGAACACATAATAGTAAGGAAAAAAATCCCCCATTGCTGATGTAGGGAGTTTAAAATTTGTCTTTGCCACGTCTCTTAAGCAGATGATAGAACCTTTCTAAGATTCCTTTCTCTGGGTTGTCTTGAGGATTAAATAATGTGTGTAGAAGTATACTTGACTGGGAGAGAAGTTCAGAACCTATGTTATTAACCCACAGAGGGAAAGGATGCCTTGAAGACTTGGGATTAAGGCAATGAAAATTGTGCTCTGGGAGATGGGAGAAACTCAGTGCATAGCAGATCAGAACCAGAGGGGACAAACTGCCCTACAAGCAACTAAGTGTGATTTGCTACAGCATAGCAAATTGCTAGATGCTGCAAATATTAGTGTTGCTATATGAAGTGATTTGTGCCCTTAAAAATGTTTAAAATACAGTGCGAAGGTTAAGACACTTAAGTTTATTAAAAGTATTAGAAGACTGGTACAAATAAGGAGCTAAAAATACAGAAATGAGGGGAAAATGATTCCGAGAGAATCAAGCATATGTCAAGGAAGCTTCTTTGTGAACCTTACTAGATTGGATCCACGCTTTACTGATTTGCCTTCCTCAAACACTTCTGTTCACAGTGCTTTATCTTGTGTGGGCTTTCGTTCCTGAATCATGGTTGAACTCCTTAGGCTTAACCTATTGGCCTCAAAAGTAAGTCCAGTACTCTTCAATACATGTACAACTAATGCTGTTTTAAAAGATCATCTTCTTTTAAGATCCAAGTCTTTTTCTTTTTTTTTTT